AAAACCCAGGCTATGGGAACCAATGTCATTATTGCAAGCAAGAAGGACATTGGAAATCAGAATGCCCCAAGCACCCCAACCTAGCCAGCCCCCTGCTGCCTGCCCCCTCACCCCTGGTTCTGCCCCACTTCTGTCATGGATTTGTGGGGTTGCCTGAGTCATTGGTCCTCATCCTTGCTGCCCCTGGGGACTCCCCCATTTATCTGACAGGCCTTGGGTGTAGCTTTCAACAAAGCTGTTGTTCCCCCGGGTTTCCTCTTGAGCAGTGTACACACTTTGCCAGGGTGTTGGCTGTGCTGCTGCTGTCACCAGTGTGACGTACACAACGAATTACCAAAGCCTGGTTCGCTGACAAGAGTTCAGCCGGGTTTTATTATCTACTTGGCTCCGACTCACTAACCCACCTGTCCAAAGCACGATGGGTTGTTAGCCCTGGATGCCGTTGGTCAGTCCCAAAGATTTCCAGGCCCCCTCTTATTTGTGGATCCAAACAATTCTGCATACATCAGACATTTGCATAACCAACATCAACTCCTCTACCAAGTCACCCAAATCCTCAGACTTCCCTAGGGAGTTTGCCAGAGCATTGGACTGCTTTTCAAGGGCCCCCCAGGGCCTGATGGATGTGAGCTAGCCAGAATTGCTTCAGAGCCCCCATGGCCTGAGGTGTCAGCTGCCTGCTCCCAGGAAGACCTGGGGGTTCAAAGCCATCTCTGCCTGGCCCCCCACTTCCCGGGATTACTGAGCAGGTCCTTCTACTACCAAAGCGGCCTTTGCAGAAAAGTCTCAGCTTTCTCACTTGTCTTCTCAGGATTTGCCTAAAGTGCTGGCCCCTACAGCTGTGCTTTTCACCGTCCCAGCATGTCCCATACTCTGCAGGTCCCTGTCAATCCCAGAGTTTCCCCTCTGCTTTCCATGCTCTGTTTCTTGGGGCGTGTATCTCCAGACCCCATGGGGAATGTCAAGGCCTTGCCATAATCCCTGGGCCAAACCCAAACAGCCAGGGCCCTGCCGGGGTGTCCTTTGTGGGTGAATAGCCTGACAGTACATTTGTTTTGACCCGTGAACCCCCTCCAATTGCCCTCAGACTGGGAAGTTGACCCGCTTCCCAGCCAGGTGGCAGCAAGAAGAGCAGGCAGAAAATGCAGTCCTGCAAGATGTTACAAACATTCCCAACTTGTTATCCATACCTGCCCTCACAACTGTCCTGTGCTCCTCCCTTGCGGCTCTACTTTTGCCCGCCCCCAACCCTGTACTCTGCCCCCTGTTCACCACAGGTGCTTCTCGTTTGGCATTGGACAAGGGGCTTCCACAGCTCTGATCAAAGGCATTGCCGAGGCAGGCGGGGGCTTCGCTGAGTTCATCATTGGCCAGGACCGCATGGCCGCCAAGGTACAGACCCCAAGAGGCTAGGCCTCAATTTGACTCCCCTCCCGGAGTCAGGGCTAGTACTCAGGAGTCCGGGTTCCTACCTCCTTGCCCTGACACACTGTGCCCCACTTTCTTCAAAGGGCTGGGGAGAAAGCCCCCCAGAGCCCTCTTCCCATTCCTTCTGCAGTAACCCACAAGACCTTATTCCCCTGGCAGAAATGGGGAGAGGACCCAGGTCCCCTGCCCTGCCGCCCTTCCATGTGACTCTACACTGTCCCCTGCCAGGTACTACGGTCTCTGAAGTGGGCCCTACAGCCAGCAGTTACCGGGATCTCTCTGAGCTGGGAGCTGCCCCCTGGGATGGAGGCAGTACCATTGAGGCCAGACCCAAAGGTGATCTTCCAGGGACAGCGCCTCCTCGTCTATTCCCAGCTCCGTGGACAGCCAAAGGTGAGAGCAAGACATCCCCCCACTTCCTGAGAGACCCCTGCTCCAGGGTTCGGACTAAGCTGGGCCTGTCTTCCAGCTGGCAGGATCACCCCAGCCCCTGATAATGGCTGACGATGGCTCCTATCCCCATCCCTCCGGTCTGCTTCTCATCCCCCTGAATGATTTCCACGAGGGTGCCTAAGCGATTCTTAGTTCCCCAACGTGGGGAACTGGGTATAGGCAAATCCATAGCTGATAGAAGTCAGCTGCTGCTCAGGTGGAGACTGTGGTCAGCTGCACAGCTGGTATAATTTCCCTTCACAACCCTTATTCTTTATCTTGAGGCTGGCAGGAGCAGGGCTCCCTCTTTCTTGCTTCCCAGCTCTGACCCTTTCTCCACAGGCCCCAGAGTCCTCTGTGGGAAGTGTCACGCTGCAGTATACCATTAAAGATGAGACCTTCAAGGACACGGTGCAGTTTCCCCTGCAGCCGCAGGAAGGAGACAGGTGAGGCACGGCCCCTCCAGCCCCTTCTTCTCCATCTAGTGCTCCACCAGCTCCCCCGCCTCCACCTACCAAACTGCTGGGCACAAGGTTTCACACCAGTTCAGAGACAGAACCTGGGAGTCCAGACTCCCAGCCCTTGCACTTGACCCCAAACAGGGGGGCAAGCTTCTGAATCGGCCTGGGGACCCCTTACACTGAGAAGATGAAATCTGAGGAGGCAAATTTACTGGCTGTGTAGGTGCAACGGTAACTACCCAGATGGCATCTCATCAGCAGACCCCATTGCCCTGGGCTAGCGGAGCCAGCTTGCTCACTGGCCCGTTTGCGAGGGCAGCTGTTACCTGGGACCGGATCTCCCACATCAGAACATGGGCATTGTCTCCCCAAGGGCTTCTTACTTCACCTCGGGCCACATCTGTGACAGTTCATCAGCCCAGTGTAGAGAGAAGATGTCCCCAGCTGGTACAGCCACGCAGCCTTGGGCTAGGAAGCCCAGTTGATGAGCCAGCAAGTAGGGCCATTAGCTGTCACGGTTCCCTAAACTGCTGGGGTGCAAGCACAGTGATGTGAGGGCGCTCCCAGGAGCTTGGTCTCTGCCACTCGAGACGTCTGGTACAGAAAGGGCAGATATGACCTTAAATGCTGTGAAGGTGTCTCCCAGCAGTGCTAATCCAACCCTCCTGGACGTGGACCGGGGCTTGGGAGCCCCCAGTCCAGTGCACCGCAGGCCAGAAGGAGAAAGGCAGCGAGATCTCCCCACCTCCAATTCTGCATCCTGGTAGTCCTGGGGAAGAGCAGGCCAGGGTCAGCCCATAGCCCCAGCATCAGCAGCTCCTCCAGGGCTGTGGGTTCTTCAGTGAGTCTCGTGTGATCCCCAGCTCTCACTTCTGTGAGTGGGGGCCTGGGGGCCCAGGGTGCTCTCAGGCCTCACAATGAGATGGTGGGGTTTGGTCCCCTTGATCTGGTGCTCACAGGGGAAAGAGCAGCTCAAACATTTCCTGGTGGAGCTTTGTCTTGTCCCAGGACCTGTTTGCTGAACTCAGAGAGGCTCCCTCGGGCCTGGATGGGTCTTCCCCAGAGCAGGGACCCAGGAGCTGCAGTCGGGGTCAGGGCAACTGAGTTTCCCAGCTGGTATTAAGAGGGACTAACTCAATAAGATATACGGAGAGCACAAGTCTGCCAGGCCACCCCCAGTGAGCCTCCCTGCAGTGCCCCTGTGTCTCCGGTGGATGGCATCTGCGGGCAACAAGTCTCAGGCTCCTTTTCTTCCCAGAGGCGGTCTGCGTTGGATCCTTCCCAAGACCGTGCCTTCCTGGTAGCCCATGGGAGCCTTTGTAGGTCAGCCTTTCTGAGGCTCTCCTCTGAAAAGCCTGCTGTTTAGGAAAGGGCGTTCATATTTCCATGCTAGGCAGCGGTTGGACATTGACTGTCGTTCTCCCCCTCGTCTGGGAGATGGAAATCTCACCTGATGTTTGAGATCCAGGCTGCTGTTCGTTTCCTGTTCTCACTGCCCACCATGGTTCCTCTGCTTTGTGTGTGGCAGGTTAGCGTGCTATGCCTTGTAGTTGTGCGATAGCTCTAGTAATAGGTTGGACAGTGGATTTGTACAGGTTGGTTTAGACAGGGATGATCCTGCCTCAGGCAGGGGGTTGGACTGAGCTGGGGATAGGATCCAAGACTCCTGACTTCCCTGCCTGCAGCAAAGCAGAACCCCAGTGTCCAGGGCTCAGCCTCTGTCTCTGTCTCTCTCATTCTCCCTGGCACAGGTTGCCCATTC